CAAAAGGTTTTTAAGGTATCATCTGCTAAAAAATAGAAAAAAAAATGATTAAAAATGAAAACAAAAATAAGGAGAACTTTTATTCGAATTTGTTTTGGACTTTCATTCCGGATTGATTGAGGTGCCGCTTAGCAGCAGTTTCGAATGGCAAGGAACAAACAAAAGAGGCGAAAAGAAGTCGCTGATATCGCAACAGAACGGGGAAAGAAATCTGCGAGCAGGCTGTTCGAGTCGGCTCGATCGAGTGACGCACGCCCGGAATGGCGGCGCGCCGACGAAGAAGTCGCCTCGGTCAGCTGGAAGAGCCAGCGGTAGCCAATCACGGGCGATCATTGGTGTCGTTCGAACATCTTTTTTAGTGTTGCACTGTCCTGTGCCAATAAGTCGAGAATCCCGTACAGTATGTGGTACACGGTGGTACAGAATGCACGGTGCACGTACGTATGCAGGGTGGTCCACAGCCCCCTTCCTTTAGTTTGCTTATACTGTACCGGATGCAGGCGTGCGGCCGGGTTGCATACTCAGCCGGGGCCATAAGGCGCTACGGCGCGGAAGGGGTCTGTGGACCGCCCTGTATGCTGTTGTGCCCATAAGGCTCCATGTTAAAAATTCCAGTACTTCGTACTTCAGACACCGTTCTTAGCAAGTACAGAACCGTGAAACAAGTTGTCCAGTAACGTATTGGTCAACTTACTGTGCTTTGTTCAGACAGTGTATTGTTGTTATCGCGGGTGCGCTCGCGCGTCAAAACGCCTAGCAAGGGAGTTGTGTCAAAAGGGGGGCAGACTGAACACCAATTTAGTTGCAACAACAGAAGTATTTTTAACTCCGTCCCAAGGAAAACGTTTTTCTCGCGATGACGTCATTGTGACCTACGAGGTCACGATTTTTGCACTTGTGAGGTCACTGGTGATGTCAAAAAACGTCATGGTGACATCATTGCGATATCTTTGACGATTTCGTGAGGAAGCCGTTTTCGTTGGGGTACGGCACGGGCGTGGACT